GGTGATAGGACACCGCCACCCCCATCGCCCCCGCCGGCTAGATGCGGGGGTGTGTATTTGGATTGGAGACCCTACAAATTAAAGGGGGGGCCATTTGTGGACAACATTGCCCTAAAGCAACTTTAAAAGAATTTAACAAGCGACTCCAACAATGGGAGACCCCTCTTGGGAGTCTATTCTCTAGAACCGTTGCTTCTGCCAATTACTTAGACGTTTCCAAAGAGTCTGAATATTTCCCCCTTTTCTAGAAGGGCAGTTTTCTGGTGCTAGAAATGGGGAGGGGGAATTTATAGGATGTCTCTAGTGGAGGTCGGGGAATGATGGAATAAGTCCATGGCTCTCTGATCATCTGGCAAAATCTGGAACCTACTTTGCCCTCCCTGCCTCTAAACAGGCCTGGCCTAAAAGGGAATCCGAGCATGAATGTAGGAACCTGGGAAATGTACACCTGTGGCCAAGGAGAGAGAAATCGCCCACGGAAAAGGAAAGGAATGGAATAGCCCACCGAGCCCCACTTGGATTCTGCCAGGGCTTGGAGAGGCAGGTCGTCGTCCCAAAGCAATGCAACAGATTTATTTGGAAGGCAGCAGGGAGGGAGGTGCATGGCTGAAGTTTCCCGGGGCTGTGCAATGTGATTTTTCACCTTGTCTGATGCTGGGATTTTTGGGCAGCGACACAGCTTTGGCGCAGGAAATAGCAGGGAGGTGGCAGCGACATAGCTCAGTCGTGAAAGAAAGAAAAAAAGAAAATTCGACCAGCCACAGGCAGTAAAACGGAATATATTCAGTTGCTCAGATGAAGGACTTGCTCTGTGTTATTGGCAGATGTCTTTGGTAGGGGAGGGGGAATTGAAGCACAATGGGGCAGCCTCCTTGGGACGGTAGGCAGGCAGCTGTTAAAGTCCCAGCCACCGGTGGCCCGTCTGAAATGTGGCAAGGTTCTCCCTGCCAGTCTGTGGAATAAAACAGGCGACAGCAAGGGAGGCCCTTCAAATGACAGAAACTGAAATTCCGTCACCCAAATCTTGGTTAAGCGGGCAGGAGCTCGGTTCACTTCTGCATCCAGTCCCCAGCCTGCAGGATCTGTCATAAAATTACGATATCATAATCTCCCCGAAGGAAAGAACACGCAGCCCTTGCGACGAAGCCCAACTCTCTCTTGGTTCAAGCCGCAGAACCGGGAAGTGGCCCTGCTGAAGGCGGTGGCTGCAGTCACAGAACACGCTTCACCTGGTTATTAAGTTAACTCACTTTCTGGGTGTGCACAAAACAGTTATTTCTAAACAAGCCGTGCAGGCTGGCTTTGCACCACCCATTTGGCTGCGAGCAAATGAACTGCAGGTAAGATCTAACCAAGATTCGCACAGTGTACCCACGGAGTTGGGAGGTCTTTAGCTGATCTGGGTAAAGGATTTGTGGCCAGATAGCCAGCGGCTTTGGCTTTGAGATTTTTGCCTAAAGGCTTCTTTTTAGAGCCTATGACTTAGGAGTGGTACATCCTCCTGTAGCAAGCAGTTGTTACCTTTTAAGACAATGCTTTATTTCCTTTTGATCATTATAACACTTGCTGTTGTAGCTTTAACTTTGCCAGCACTGTCTGGCTAGCAAAGGACAGCTGCATCTGCCTGCTTGGGGGAAGAAAGGAAAAACACTCTGCCTATGCTCAGAGTTACCCTTGGTCAGGACATCTCGGATTCTCCAGGGCAGCGTCCTGAGACTTGCGAAATGAGCATTTGCTCCAATTTGGTCTGCGTGGAGAATCTGAATCCGGCACCTCCCCCCACTTCCAGACCTAGGTGCTGCCCTGCAAGCTCCGTTAAGAAATGAAAGCAGAAGTTGGCAGGGGTGCTGAACAGACATTTCTGTACGCAGCCTTGATAGGAGATGTTATCATCAGATGCAAAAGCTCACAGCAAGAGGAAGGGAACTGCGCTGGGGTTCTTAGGAGGCCTTTTTGCACACAATACGTCTTTGTTCTGCAGCTGGTCAAGCAAGGCTCTCAGAGGCTAGAACAGTGTTTTTCAAACGTGGCAGCTTTAAGATGTGTGGACTTCAACTCCCAGAATTCCCCAGCCAGCATGGTCATTGCTGAGAATTCTGGGAGTCATGGCCAAACTTCTGGAAAGTGCCCATGTTGGGGAAGGCTGGCCTAGAAGGAAGAAGAGCTGATTTTTATGTCCGAGTTTGTACAACATAGGGGAGCTGCTT